AGGAAAATTAAACAGGGGGTTCCGCAGGGCGGTGTCCTCTCCCCGCTACTGTTTAATTTCTATGTTTCAAAACTCCCCCAGCCACCAGCGGGAATTTCAATGAAATCGTACGCTGAAGACTGTACGATATTGACGTCGGGCAATGGAATCGATGGTATGTGTTCAAAAGTAAACGACTACCTCTCCGATCTTTCTCGCTTCTTCTCTGCAAGGAACCTAACACTCTCCCCCACCAAATCCACAGCGACCATCTTCACAAATTGGACGAAAGAGTACAGACTGGACCTGAACATTTCAGTCGATGGCACAAAAATTCCGACAATAAATAACCCTAAAATTTCGTATTTTCGTAGAAACCACCCCTGCAGTCGCCTGCTTGTAGCGGAGCCGCCTCCTAGGAACATCAAGAGGTCCTTCCTTGACTACGTCAACGACATTAGACAGTACGCCGACCAGACTTCGGACGCAACTAACTTCAGACAGGCACTGACCGCCATTCACAGTGGAGCCATTAACGCCTTCACCGACTCCCTCTCAGTGAATGGCGTAATACACACATGTAACAAACACATGTCCTGCATGCAATGAGTCTCCGCATGACACTAGCCACCTCTTTGCATGCCCAACAAACCCCACTCATCTAACACCCCTCTCCCTATGGTCCGACCCCATCGAAACAGCTCGTTTCCTGGGCCTTCCGTTAGATGACCTCGACGACAACGAATCTAGAATTTATCACCCAAACGGGGATTAGGTAACCGTTACAACAACAACAACAACAGTTTTATAGTCAATGTAGGATAACAGGTAAAGCTAAAATTCTTCAACTTACATCTACTTCTTTCTTCACCAACTCCAGATATTGACATGAGTTCCAATTTATCTTAAATTCCTTATATACTTTATTCAGATCTCGGCGCAGTATATCCAAATCTCTTTGAATTAACCTTTTTTTATTGCCCGTCTCATGTAATTCATTCTAAAAAAAATATAGGGGAAACTTTAGTATACCATCCCGTGCTTTCAGGGTTTAGAGAGGTATGGTGGGAGGAGATTCTCCAGATCAGGAATATATATAATTATTGACGCTGTACACTTATAGTTTTCGAGATATTTTCATTTTAAGTTGAAAATTTCACAAATTTCATCTTACAATTTCTCGATTTATGGATAACTTTATTTGTATTACGCACTTATTATACGCTAACACTTCACTACAATGTTTCTACATATTTATTTTGTATTAGTTAATTTAACTTTTGCTTTAAATAAGCATTTTATTTTTACACAATTTTTGTTATATGCACAATAGCAAAAGGGTTCCAGATTGACAGATTATAAGTGTTCCCATATCCAAACGAATGAAAGCAATCAAAATAAATAAAACACCCAATTACCCTCTACAAAATTAACTTATATGCAAAATATTGGGTCGGCTTTAGAATAACGTCCCACGCTTTCGTGGATAAAATGGGTATGGGCGGATAGAGGAGATCCTCCAGATCAAGAATATATATAGATATAGCCGCGGGAAACTTATAGTTTTCGAGATATTTACGTTTAAAGTTGAAAATTTCAACTATTTAAAGTACGTATTTTGTATTTACTTGTATTTTTCACTTTTATATCCACTAACACTTGACTAATTCGTTTTTAGAAATTTTTTTTATATTAGATGCTGCAAAAATAGCTTTATTTCAATATTTAAATCATTCTTAATTTTATTAATTTTGACAATAACAAAATGGTTGTGAATGTCAAAACATCAGTGTTGCCATACTAATATATTTGGTAAACGAAAAATAAATAAAAAACAGAGATTGTACCCTAGATACGGAAACAACGCAAATAAATTTCTGCGCGTAAAACATTACCCCGGTGTTGGATCGACTAGGGTTATTTTTGAAGCGCGGCCGAGGCCAGAACCAAAAATAAGTTCTGCGCAAAACCTTGATCCACCCGGTGTTGGATCGACCAGGGTTATTTTTGAAGCGCGGCCGAAACGCAAATAAGAAGTTCTGCGCAAAAACATGATCCACCCTGGTGTTGGATCGACCAGGTTATTTTTGAAGCGCGCCGAAGGCCTTAAAGAGTTCTCGCAAAACCTTGATACCCCCGGTGTTGGACAAACCAGGGTTATTTTTCAAGCGCGGCAAGGCCACAACGAAAAAGAAGTTCTGCGCGAAATATTTTGATACACCCGGTGTTGGACCGCAGGTTATTTTTGAAAAGTAATATGTGTCATGGAGGGTATAACATAATATAACATCAATGCTTTGTAATAGTTTATTTCTCTAGGTTTTGATTCCTGTTTGAATTTGTGTCTGTTTTAATTCCTTTCAGTTCAATTACAAAAGATGTCGATAAGGTAACACTGGTTATTTGAAATTTTGCAACCCTTTTGTTATTGTCAGAATTAATAGAATTTAACAATAATTTAATTATTGAATTAAACTATTTTTGCACTATATAATGTAAAATAAATGTATACAAACGAATTAGTGAAGTGTTAGTCGATATAAAAGTGGAAAATATAAGTGTATAACTCATTCGAAATGGGAAAAATGCGTACTTTAAATAGTCGAAATTTTGAGCTTTAAACCCAAATATCTCGAAAACTATAAGTGTCCCGCGGCTATATCTGTATATATTCTTGATCTGGAGGATCTCCTCTATCCGCCCATACCAGTTTTATCCCCGAAAGCGTGGGACGTTATTCTAAAGCCGACCCGTTTTCCCACGCAAATTTCTCGAAAACTATAAGTTTCAGTGTCCGGCGGCTTTAATTATATACATCTGGAGAATCTCCTCTATCTAACCATACCCCTCTTAACCCTGAAATCGTGCGATGGTATTCTAAGGCCGACCCAAAATATATAACGTTTAAGCATATTGTTACATATCGTTTGTATCTATAAACATTTACCTTAATATTTATGACTTGTTCTTGTGCGCGCCGGACATCGTCCATATGTAAAACCTCTTCTAAAAAGACAACCACACGCTTAATATATGTTGAATTTGCCTGTTGATCACTTGAATCATCCGTTGTAGAATTATTAAACATATTTTTGATATTGAACATTTGCTGTGTACCATTGTAACTGTAATTTTGTTTTTTAAAGGCAGTTATACCAACCTTATTTGAATTATTTATATCTTTCTTAGTGCTTAATTTATTTGTCGTACAATATCTCGCCACAATAATTTGTTTTGATTCCATTAATGTACAACTAACATATGATCTGAAGCACTTTGAGTCAAATGAGCAATAGTATGGCAACATATAGAATCGAGACCTGGAATGACCAAACATTGCTTAATTCTTTTTAATCATATTTATCGTTGTTCCTTCAAAATCCGCAATAGCACTCTTTAACTTTTTTCAAAACTAACTAGACGTTACGATATACTTCCACAGGCAATAAATGTTCTCGCGACAACTTTTTCGCCAGCAACGACGCCGAGAAAGACCCGGTATTGCAGCCAGACTGCTGACGATAGAACAACACTTGCTTATTGCTTATGCTTGGCAATTAAAGTCTGAACAGTTTGCGTTATTTATATTGCTGGCTATTAACTGTCATGTTGGAGTTTTTACCATAGATAAAATTATTCGAAATTCCTCTGTTTGCCTTCTGAGAGAGCTCATGAACTTTCAGTGCTGCCAAAAAAAACCACGAGTTGATGAGCTACTGAACAGATGACAACCAAAACAACGAACTACTACTAAGAATCCCGCAGAAAAAAAATGTCACTTTTACGTATATTTGTAATCTTTATTTAAAGAGTTTTAATACAGTTTTGTTTTTAAGAAAGACCGAGTATTTTATCGCAGAGTATTGTTTTTCTTAGCAGTCAATTGACAACGTATATACATATTTTGATTAGAATTCCCAGCAAATGTTATGTAAGCTTTAACTTCCGAATAAATTATCGAAAGATATTTGTTTATTCAGTATATAAATGTTAAGCTTATTGAAAACATGTACGTGTTTTCAAATATTAAAATATTTTGTTAAATTTAGTTTTAACAGTAAATTTTGAAAATCGAGAACGAAAAAATCACGGAAATTGTGCGTGAATTCATTAAAAAAGAGCCGAAATCATCGCTTAAATATATTGAATCGGAATTATCAATATCCGCAGCGTCGATTTATCGTATTTTGACAGAAAATTTGGGCCTCATAAAGGTTTGTGCTCGATTTGTCCCGCACACTTTGAAACAACACGAAATTGACCTCAGAATTCAACATTCAATTTGACCAAAAATCGCATTCATATCATATACCATTCATCCTATTCGCCTGATATGGCACCCTGCGATTTTTATTTGTTCGGAAAACTACATTTGGCCATGAAAGGAAACCGCTATGCTGACGTTGATGCCATCCAAAAGGACGACGACCGCCATCCTCAACGCTATCCTCAACACTATATCGACAAATAACCTAAAAAAGTCATTCGATAACCTTCTTGAAGGTGCAAAACGTTGTATTCAGGCGGAAAGAGACTATTTTGAAGGCGACCAATAAATTTAAAAAAAAGAACATATAGTATTCGTTTTTTAATAAAAGCCCTGAAACTTTCGAATTGCACCTTGTATATTTTAACGTCATATAAGATATCTAGCTTGTTAAACTAATTTTAATTATGTATATTTTTTTGTAAAATTGAAACCGAAAAATACCCAAGAAATACATTAAAAAATCTCAAAACTTATTTCTTTCCTTAATGGCACCACTGTCAAATGTTATAAAAAATGCGGACTTTGACAGCGCTCTCTCGAATCAAAGAGTTTCAAAACATTGTATTAATCAGAGATAATAGGATGCCCAACTCTTTCCAGAGTGAGAGCTCCTCAAACTTAGTGTTTTTTTTTTAACATTTTCGGGATGTAGAGCAGGTTCGCCTCCGCGCGGTGCATCCTGGGTATCGCCAAATGACCTGCGGCCTTTTTTGAACTCCTGATCTGACATTTGCTCGACATGGACAGAGCCTGGACTATTAGATAGATTCGGTTGAACCCTGGGCTGGTGGTCGTGATATTCTGTCACCTGAGTGTGCAGGGGTGATACCCTGCAGAAATGGCTGATGGGCTAATGCCAAGGCTGCCTCTGTCAAGTTAAAACCATGGCAGGCCTCGGAGCACGTTCCCCTCCCGTCATCATTAAGTTGGTGTGGTAGGTGTTTGTTGAGATGACTCCTTCCTTTCGCTGGTCGGCTCTGAACACATTGCCTCAAAAGGGCGTGCGTCAACTCTCGCCTTGGCCTAGTAACTGAGACAACCTTGGGACCATAAAAGGCGACTACCTTTCCGGGAGGCGGATAGCGGCTCTGAGTGGGGACCCAACAAAATGAATACGAACGAAAATACTAAGGACGAGAGGGGAATCAGATCGAAACCGACCTCTGCTATAATGGACAGTTCCCTGGGGGGACACTTTCACCGAGGGGGACGAAATCGTTCCCGATTAAGGGTGAGAAGGGAAATCCAGGGGGTGCCTGGCTTACCGTCACTGGTTTGGCAGAAGTCTGCCGACGGTAGACTTGAGTAGGGCGGAAGTGCGAGGCGGAATCGCCAGCACTAGGAGAGAAAACCTCTGCTAAGTTCATGGGGGGTCACGGGGTCCTCGGCGAACGCTAAGGGCTTGGTGGGGAAGCGCATGACTGCAGCTAAAAAGCTGAAGTCTGATCGTCGATTGGCTTCCAAGATTTTGAAGCGCTACGGTGGCAAGCAGGCTGATCAGAAATCTGACCAGCATAATAGCACACTTGAGTGGGCCAAATGGGTGCTGAGCGACGTGGGCGACGGGAAAGTGGAGCCGAGTGAGCGCCACACATCGATAAAGCGGCAGAGATCGCAGGAGGGGGAATCCTCCCTCGTCAAAAAACCTCGGGTCGGACCCGCACCGATGTTTAGCGAAATCACTAAACTCGCAAGCTCAGTGGAGCTTGGTGTGTACGACCGAAGCAGGGGAGATGGGGCCATCTCCCATGACGAGTGGAAGCGGGTAGCGGCTGCTATCTCCGCTGTTTTCATGAAGGTGGTGGATGGAACCTCGGCATTCACAAATTAATTAGGTGTGCCGACGAACGGTCGAGGAGGCCGGCGTCGACGATATGGACGATGGTGCGGAACTCGCACTGCTGGAGAGGAGTTTGGAGGATGAAGGGGCCAGGCGCAAAGGAGCCGCGGTTCTAATAGGCTCGGATGCCAATTCATGGCACACCGTCTGGGGGAGCTCGGACACAAACGCAAGAGGTGAGTCACTTTTTGATTTTATTTGTGATGTAGACCTTTTTATCTGCCCTATTTTGTGACAGCTATCAGGGCGCAAGTCCTTGACGTCACGCTAGCCTCTAACGAAATTGCTCACTTGATCTCGAAATGGAGAGTTCTAGACGACCACTCCTTTTCTGATCATAAATATATTGGGTTCAGCTTAGACGCCTCGCGCCCGAAGCATAGAACCTACAGAAACTTCAGGAATACCAATTGGGTCCTGTGCTCGTCGATATTTTCAGCTCCGTTAGTAGAACTACTCTTGAAAGCTCCTGTCCTCTGAAAACTCAGAATAGTAAAGGGAAACCCCCTTGGTGGACTTCGGAGCTAACGGAGATTAGATCTTCGAGTAGAAGACTTTTCAATAAAGCCCGTAAAAGTGGCTCTAGTGACGACTGGGAGTTGTACAAGGCCGGACTGGCCATTTACAAGTCCGAGTTGAAGAAAGCCAAGAGGGCTTCGTGGAGAGCCTTCTGCGGCAGTGTAGAGGGTTGTCACGAGTCCTCAAGGTTTAGACGCATTCTTACAAAAAATCCTACACCAGTGGGGTATCTAAGAAATGTAGATAACGGGTGGACTACGAGTAGTGAGGAGTCGCTGAAGCTACTCCTAGATCCTCATTTTCCGCTGCATTGCTCTACTGAAGAAGTGCCACTGGGGGAGCTTCAGGAAGGCTGTACAGCTGGAGACAGGTTAAGGTTACGTTTATTCCGAAGGCCGGTAAAAGCTCTCATGTCGATGCAAAAGATTTCAGACCCATCAGCCTATCTTCGTTTCTGTTGAAAACGCTGGAGAGACTTATGGATCTGTATGGAACTCCGCAGGGAGGAGTACTCTCCCCACTGCTCTGGATCTTGGTAGTAAACGACCTACTTAAAGAACTCGAGGAGCAAGGATGTCGGGTGATAGCCTATGCTGATGATGTGGTTCTTATGGTTAAAGGTAAATTCCTAAATACCGTCTATGAGCTCACCGAAGGGTCCCTAAACGTGGTATCCTACTAGGTAAATAGAAGCGGCCTAGCCGTAAAACGCAGTAAAACCGAAATTATTTCTTTACTAGGAGGTATAAGATCCCAAATGTGCCTCTCCGCTCTTTCGGAAGTTCAAAACTTCAACCTGTTGATAAGGTGAATTCCTAGGGCTTATCCTTGTTAGAAAGCTTTCTTGGAGGCCAAGCATTGGTCGCCTTATATTGCTGCAGAGGACATATAGGGAAAAGGTGGGGAGTCTCACCAAAGGTGGTGTTCTAGCTCTACGAAACCGTAGTCAAGCCGATACTGTTCTATAGTGTGTTCGTCTGGTGGAGGGCGCTCGAAAAGACTACCTTGGCTAAAAAGCTGGAGCGAGTCCAAAGAGCGGCGCTCATCGGAATCTCCGGTTTTTTTCCGCTGTTTAAAATATAGCACCTCTGGACATTGCCGGCAGGTGCATTGCTGCGAGGTGTGATATTAGGCTCAGGGAAGCTGGGCTCTTGAAGAGGTCCGAACAAGGACACGCCACAATTCTCTCCTGCTTCAGCTGCATTCCTGAAAATTTGGATCACTGCGTCACAGTGGCCACTCGAGGCGCCTTTTTCTCTGCTCATATCCCGATGAGGGAGATGTGGAGGGGAAGAAGCCGCTGGAGAAGAGGCGCGGTGAGCTTTTTCACGGATGGGTCGAAGCTACGAGGGAAAGTTGGAGGGGGGGTTTTCTGTAAAGAGCTCTCCGTCAAACTTTGCTTCAGGCTACCGGACCACTGTAGCGTTTTTCAATCGAAGTGCAGCTTCGTTTAGAGAGGTGAGCATTCACTCCGACAGCAGAGCGGCAATACAAGCCCTGAGTGCGCGAACAATGAATTTAAAGCTAGTCAAGGAGTGTCTGTCCTCACTAGAATTAGCATCAAGCTACTTCAATATCAGGCTCGTTTGGGTGCGTGGTCACAGCGGAATCGCGGGGAATTGCAAGGCCGATGGTAGGAGTTCTCACTGGGCACTGTCCAATGGGAACTCATGCGGTGCGGCTTAGAATACTACTCGATGGTAATTGTCAAAGCTGTATGGAGGAGGGTGAAGTGGAAACATCCCGTTACTTTCTCCTCCACTATCCGGCTTTTGCTGGGCTGAGAATGAAACATCTCGGCAATCACACTTTTGGCGGACCAGAAGATTTGGCCGAAACGGATGTTGGCCGTCTCAACAAGTTTGTCATAGGCACAAAGCGCTTTGTCGACATGTAAGGGTCTATTGACGTTTAAGCTGTCCAAGTGTGATCCTTCTTAGGATCGACCCTCTAACCTAACCTAACCTAACCTAACCTACAACATTTTTCATTGTAGCTAGATCGGACAAAATAATAATTTTTGGGAATTTAAATTAAAATACCCAACATTTATTAAGATTAAATATTATTATAGGGATATCCATTAAACATATATATTAAATATTTAAACCTTTTTTTGTGATTTTGTAATATATTAAAAAATTGATTTTTGAACTTTCAATACGTAATCAAAAGAATAAAAGTATTAGCTCTCAATTAATAAATGTTTTTAAAAATTTTCAATTTAAATGCAATATTTTAGTAGTATACTTTTCATATACTTATGAAAACGAATAAAAGAAATGTATATTTTATTTGAATTAATAAAAGATGATACAATCATCACATACATTTCAATTTCGCGTTTTCTTTCAT